TCAATGATACTGAATACACTTTTGAATTAAATGTAATAAATTTAATTGCTAATAGATAAAGAAGATTATAGTTTCCTTTTATAAAGTTGTGTCAAACACTGTTATATGCGCAACTTAATTATAAATAAGATTTTTAACCTACGGGCATTTTGATTCAAACCTTTTATCGTCCGTTACGTCGACTAAACCTGCGTCCTACACATTAAGTCGATTTCACTGACGTCAGAGTGATTCCAACATTGTCTCGTTCTCATCAAGTCATTTTAATCGACATCGGTACTCGTGTACTTTGCATTTATATTGCATACACGTGTGCGTAATCAGAAGGCGATGCATAGCCACTTATGTGATATATTAGAGTATCAGGAAAGCTGCGATTCGAAAGACACGAAATTGCCAAGGACAGATAAGAATGGATCGACTAGTTTCGTCACCGTTGATACTTTTGCGCGTGTCGAATATAAGTCTCGTCTCAGCCATTTGCCAGTATGCGCGTGTTTACGTGGTAGTGAATCATTTCCAAATGTGTCAACCTTACGGGACTTCACGTTGTTTCATAAAAATCCGCGGTACAGCGAGTTTTCTCGCGTCGCGTTCAAACAAGCCGCGGTAACATTATCTTAAGATTTCGCCCGGTTATCAAACAAAGGTACGATGCATGGAAAATTATGCATACTTATATGAATAATAACATGATACCTTAGCAGATTTGTTCTGAGGAAGTGTTCGCGATATTTCTCGGTGATAAGTATTGCTTCCGAAATCGAGTTTCGTCTGATTCTAAAACAAATGACCCGATCCGTATAACAGTTCAGATATTGACAGATCGATTGACATAACTGAAAAAATTCGTTTCGATTCGATTGTAGTAGCGTACACACACACAAACGTATATATATATATGAAACATTGATTGCACGCGCTCTCTTGTTTGGCGCGCAGCACCAACCGATCGCTCTGAACTGATTTGTCACGTGCAGTGAACAAAGAAAACATGAAATTTATAAAATCTCTCGGCGTAAACTAATACGTGTCTACGTAAAATTACATAATGATGTAGTACATACGCCGACACAAACACACTACAAACAATGCTGGTTTAATCTTTTCTATTTGACTGCTCAGGTTTAAAGTTCACTCGATCTGACTTATCGTTCGTTAAACGAGATTATTATAATGGTTTCATTGATGATTAATGTCGTTTGTATTTCAGAGACAGCCAGAAAAATGCGCATTATCTTTGTCAAATTTCGGGAAGTGTCACAAAAATATCCCATTGTAAGAGGAATGGCATCTTATACCCTAATATGGCCAACTGGATGTTTGGTACAGCAAAAACTAGTTGGAAAAGATGAATTAAATTACGGGCAGGCATTGAGATTTAGTTTGTATGGTGGGTTTTTTGTAGCCCCAACACTTTATTGTTGGTTAAGATGCTCTTCGTACTTTTGGCCGAAGTCAGATCTGAAGTCTGCTCTCACCAAAGTATATTATTAAATAGAAATTGAAGCAATTCATCTAACCGAGATGTAACATTCATATTTGTAATTTATCTTACAGGCCCTAATAGAACAAGTAACTTATAGCCCTGCCGCAATGTGCTGCTTCTTTTTTGGCATGAACATGCTCGAAATGAAACCAATTACCGAATGCTTTGAAGAAGTTAAACAAAAATTCTGGCCTACTTATAAAGTAGAATACATACAGATATATACATATATAAATATTACTAGTGCTACAAATATGAAGTATATTTAAGAAAAATATTATTTTCCAGGTCGGTGTTTGTGTCTGGCCTGTCTTGCAAACAGTCAACTTCATCTTTGTCCCAGAACATAACAGAGTAGTCTACGTAAGTTTTTGCAGCTTTATGTGGACATCTTTCCTTGCCTACATGAAATCTAGAGAAACTAGGAATAAGCTAAAAGATCCAACGAAAGACAATAATCCAAAACATAAAAGTCATTTTGAAAATAATGTAAATATCGAATCTGCTAATCAAGTAGAGGATAAAAATAAAAAGGCATCTATTATACGATGAAGTTTGTATAAAAATTATTTTAGTTCAATTGATTAATTTATATGAATATATATAGAGTAATATATATCACAACAAGGATAATTACAATGCCTGTTGTATACAGTACAAAATAAATTGAAAAAATGTATATGTATATATTATGCGTAGATGTGGATTAGATAATAGTATTAAAATAGGTGCAATATAAAATTGACGACTGTTCAAGACCATGAAAGTGTATTAAAAAGTTTGTTGTTAAATTTCTGGATAGTATTTATTATCTATGTATATATATCTGATAATTTATATAATATTTATTCCTAATAAATGAATTCTTGTTATACTTTGTTATTTAATCGATCATATCCTTTAAAGTTTTCATGCTCACATTTTGAAATCTAATCTTGGCTTGATTAGATTTTCAAATTAAGACGCGTACCATTATCTTATCGATTAGTTCTCTTATCGATCTTGTTTAGCACATTGAACATGGCCGCGTCCATGATTAGAAGTTTGAATTATACTGAACTGTCAAATAGTGGTCAATAATATTGTATATAAATTATTTGAGTTAGAAATATATTATTGTCCGTGCATATTTTTGAAAGTATGCAGTACTAGGCGCGTGGGAAGTATTTAGTCTTATTACATACGAATATAAATACCATAAATACGAGCACAGCGACATGAGGTTATACGAGTTTTTGTATACCGTGACCTGAAAGCTTGACAAATTATTGTTTTTTAAGATATTAATTCTAAACTTAAAGATATGGCTCGTTCATCGGTATCAGCGCAATGTGATTTAATGGCATCGTATATGGACGGGATTCACGTTAAAATCGCAGAGGCCTATAAACCACCAAGAAAAATATGTTTACCTGCTGCTTGTAATAATAAATTACTGGACGTGACAAAATTAACGTATGACTTTAGCTTAGAACGATCGGTACTTGAGAAGGTCGGATACTATTTTATTTCTAATCTACAAATTTGTATTTTATTATAAATTTAAGTGAGTTATAATTTGTAACTATAGATGACAGAATGGCGTAATGTTAGACAAGCAAATAGCAAAGCACGGCAAGCGCGATTGGAAGAGAAAAGAAGAAAAGAAAAGAAAGAATCCTCACCGCCACCACCACCTCCATTGCCCGATGTTACAAAGCCTATAAATGCACCTGTGCCTGAAACAACAATTCTTACTCCACAGCCTTTATCTCCACCTGCCAATGATCTTCAAGATCATGTAAAAACAAATGGTCTTGACTATGCTGATTTTGATAACGATACAAGTAGCCCGTTTGACAATATGGAATTAAAATCAATCAATGAGATGGAAGAACTTGCTCAGGTCAATAAATTATCTTTTAATGCAAATTGATTAATGAATCATGAACTCAACACATTAACATATCTTCTGTTTCTACTTTAGGTATTACAGCCTACATCTCAATGGGTGCCACTGGCGAAACTGGAGAATATATTAAATGACTTGACTGTTAATGATCAATCAGAAATTCAAATGCAAGAGAAGAATGATAGCGTTAAAAATGAAATGATTAATCAAGAAGAAAATAATAAACAAGAAAATATTAAACATCGCAGCGTATCTGCGATTGTACAAGAACTCCAAAGAGATTTGAAAAGACCTATAATGAAGGTAATATTTCTATAAAACGGGGCATAGTGTTTGATAAGTCTGATTCTTCTGTTACTCATGATAGGATTGGAAATCTTGGCCAAATTTAGAAAGTCCTGATACTAGCTCTCATGAAACTTTGAAACAGGGAGAATCAGTGGTAACAAATCAAGTAGCGAACGTACTATCGGATTTAACAGAGGAGGATAAAAAGTTGGCTCGTCATTTGAACGATATGGGATTTCCTTTATCGAGAGCCGCTCGTGCTATACGTGAGTTAGGCGGTCAAGATAATAAAAAAATTGTGGAATATTTATTAACTGTCCAGTCTCTAGAGGAAATAGGGATTTCTGGAGAGGATGCAGAGAAAGCTCTTACCCTTACAGAATATAATCAAGGAAAAGCGAAAACCTATTGTGAAAATTTACGCACTTTACGAGACTTAGGTTTCCCTGAAGCAGAGGCATCTGCCGCACTTTTAAAGTGTGATATTGATCGCGACAGAGCTTTAGATCTTCTAATATCTTGAACGTAGAATTATATTTATGATAATTATTATTAATGTGGTCTAAACAAATTTTTTATTGTATGAGAGTTATAAATTTGCTAAGTATGTATAAATAAACATTTTTAATCATGAAATGTTTTTTTAAGAGTATAATAAAATGATTAGTTTATTTGATGAAAATTAAAAACGTTAGCCATCGTAAGAAAAAGTAAAATATGCATAACTAAATATTTTGATAGTAACGTTAGGTAAATGTTTATGGGAAATATTCAAAATTTAATTTAAAGACATTAAACTCTTTTATTTTACTATTTACAGAATTTTTTAAAACAAAATATAGTTAATTTATACAATGCCATTTGTATCTCACTGTCATGTTGGATTCTTTAGAAAATTCGAAAGCACATCTGCAAAATTAAAATGGGTCTAACATTAAATATGAACCAACAGTTAATATTTGCCTTACCTTTTACAGCAGCATAATGCAACTGTTGTTATAGACTCTATATAATGACTAACTCCAACAATAATCCAAGCTTCTGCGAAGATTGGCTGTTGACATCGAGAATTTACGCAAATGCTAGCTGGGCCATTTGTGAACAAGTTACATGAAGCATAATTAATAGAATGCATTGTAAAATCAAGTTTATGGCAGTTCTTTGTCGCGATTTGTTCATATTGAACATTGATATTTATAGGTGATACAGAAATATTAAGTGTATGTTTATACCTGAAATTCAAAGGATCTATGGTCACAGGACCAAAGGATATTGAGCAGTTACTAAGAATATTCTAAGCAAAGAAGGTATTTTTGAGTACCTTTCGGTATAAATTTTTCTCAATGCTAATTCCCACAAAGAAACAACAGTATTTTCTTCTACGTTATAAACTTTCAGTAGCTGACGTGGCAACTCAATTATGTAATCAGTATCCTCTTCATGCAATGCATTTATCTTTAATTTTATATTTGCATGTAACGTTGTGTCCTCGTACTGCATTCTAAAGCATCTGTGATTATTCATGTATGTATTTATATGTTCAATAACAAATATGATTTATTGTTGAGAAGTTAAGCGAAATAAAATATTACAATAGTTTTTAAAACAATGATTTTTCCTGTAGGATCATGATAGAGTTATATATTTTATATCTAGTAAGATGTGCTCACCCATATCCAGTTTATGGGAAATATTCAAAATTTAATTTAAAGACATTAAACTCTTTTATTTTACTATTTACAGAATTTTTTAAAACAAAATATAGTTAATTTATACAATGCCATTTGTATCTCACTGTCATGTTGGATTCTTTAGAAAATTCGAAAGCACATCTGCAAAATTAAAATGGGTCTAACATTAAATATGAACCAACAGTTAATATTTGCCTTACCTTTTACAGCAGCATAATGCAACTGTTGTTATAGACTCTATATAATGACTAACTCCAACAATAATCCAAGCTTCTGCGAAGATTGGCTGTTGACATCGAGAATTTACGCAAATGCTAGCTGGGCCATTTGTGAACAAGTTACATGAAGCATAATTAATAGAATGCATTGTAAAATCAAGTTTATGGCAGTTCTTTGTCGCGATTTGTTCATATTGAACATTGATATTTATAGGTGATACAGAAATATTAAGTGTATGTTTATACCTGAAATTCAAAGGATCTATGGTCACAGGACCAAAGGATATTGAGCAGTTACTAAGAATATTCTAAGCAAAGAAGGTATTTTTGAGTACCTTTCGGTATAAATTTTTCTCAATGCTAATTCCCACAAAGAAACAACAGTATTTTCTTCTACGTTATAAACTTTCAGTAGCTGACGTGGCAACTCAATTATGTAATCAGTATCCTCTTCATGCAATGCATTTATCTTTAATTTTATATTTGCATGTAACGTTGTGTCCTCGTACTGCATTCTAAAGCATCTGTGATTATTCATGTATGTATTTATATGTTCAATAACAAATATGATTTATTGTTGAGAAGTTAAGCGAAATAAAATATTACAATAGTTTTTAAAACAATGATTTTTCCTGTAGGATCATGATAGAGTTATATATTTTATATCTAGTAAGATGTGCTCACCCATATCCCAAAATATTTCTATAATCTTGAGTAAGTGTATTTTGAACTTGTGAAGTTAATTGATAAAGAAGTGGAAAAGACAAATAATTTAAATACATATTTGCATCAAACCTAATGCAAGGGGATGATAGAAATCCATTCAGTGGTAAATACCTCAGCCTATGTAAAAATGATTCCATGATTATTTAAGATAAAGTTTATTTAAGATAATTTAAGATTATTTAATTGATTATTTGATGTAACAACCTGTTAGAGCACACAGAAATTGTTGACAATTGTGGTGCTAATGTCAATCTGTTTGGGAGTTCCTTGAGACAATTATTGTCTGCGTTTAATTCTTTTAATTTAGGCAAGGAACCCATCCATTCTGGCAATGCAAAAAATTTGTTTCCAGAGATTGATAAGATTTCTAAATTATGCATTTGATTCATTTCTATAAAATTGATATAAATGATCGACTTGATATAAATGAAACTTTAAAGAGGCTTTATCAGATAAGACTGTTTTGTTAGACAAACTCACCGAGCGGTAACTTTTCCAAATAATTTTGATTTAACAATAAACTTCTTAAACTAACTAAGTTTCCTATACAAGGAGGTATTTGCTTCAATTGATTAGCACTTAAGTCAAGGACTGTCAACTGAGTCATCTGACAAAGCCCTACAGGTACTTCCTTCATTAGATTTCCATAGATGTATAAATTAGTAACATTGAACAATTCCATAATCCACGGTGGTAAGGTAGTAAGCTTATTCCATTTTAAATATATTTCTTGTATGTGACCTCCATAGATCCTTATTGCTTCAGGAAATTCCGTGAGTCCACGGCAATTCCAGTGTAATATTACCTTGCTTTTGATTTCATTTACCATTTCTGTAGAATCTGAGTCCATTTGTAAATAAGTTTAATCAAAATTGTGTTCATGTATAAAATTGAAGGAGTAGATTCTGAATTTCTGAGGTTGGTTATCAACCTTCAAGATATGCTCAAAATAACTTGGCCTGCTTGAAAGATTTATATTAATAACCTATTACGTATAACAATATTATATGATTTGTAATTGTTTTCCATGTGAAACAGTATCTGTATCAATAATAAATTAATAGAATTATAAAAAAAGTTTTCATATACAAAAAGAATAAACATAATTTCTTTGAGTTTGTACATAAGTATTTTATTCATGCTGTTACAGTCATTTAATTTGATATAATAGCATTAAGCTCTATTAAGTGAGATTACGTATTTGATAATTGTTTAATGCATCTTTTAATCAAATAGTATTTGACTTCCTATTACATCATATGTTTATACTTACTGTTTCCATAACAATGATGAAATAAAGTGAACAGTAGGTAAATAATGATATGTTACTGCATAATTTATTTGATTAAATTTTATGAGACACATTGTTAAATCTGGTTAAACATGTGATTTATAAACAAGATAATCACAAGGAATTAATTAATGTGAAACATGCCTTTTAATGGTTTTATACAAATAGCCGGCTATCCGATTATTCATTATCCTTTTCCAATCTTACCGATCACTTGTTTATCATAATAATCAATACGCGTTGAACAATGTGTGTTTATACTGTTTATTTACAACAAAAACGTGTAAAAACAGCTGATAGTTCGCGACTACCAACTTGGATTTCCTTCAAAAAAATAAACCAGTTATTATAACTAGACAGTATTTACCCATATATTTATAATTGTGAGAAGTTGGTATTCCTGCGGATATAGATAATGTATTATTAAAAGAACTAATTCAAACAAATGTAAGTGTGTGTTGCGGATGTTCTGAATGAAAAAATAATACAAAAGAAAAACAAGAATTTAATTATTGTATTATTTTTGTTGGACTATTTCATCTATGTGCTGTACATAGTTCGTGATTTATCCCTTCCCTTAAGGAAATAGAGTGGGTGGGGAGGCGGCAGCCATATTATCAGTGAGGTGTCAGTCAGTATTGTCTGAACGTGACAGGATTTTTGGGTGTGGATCATACAATTTCCTGCCGTTTTCTCTAACGGGTATTAGTGCAAGTGCAAGTGCCACCGGCCTACCGTGAATGTGGCACATGTGTCGTAGAATTTATATCTTATAATCAGAATAATGTAAGTTCTGCATATTCAGTTGTAGATTAGCATTAAATCGGATATAATACTTACATACAAATATATTTTGTACGCATACATTTTTGTTCGAATATTTTGTTATTCTTTAAGCACCTTCATATATTTTTAAACATTCACGTTTCAATATTGTTTCACGTATGCATTTATGATTAAATCTTTACCTATATATGTAGATTATAATTTTGAAAAGTAATACTTCTCTTACGTAGACAATCACCTCAGAAGTAACTTCTTTTTTCTAACGTAGTCATTTCTATTATAAATACCTTTTACTCGTTCGATCAATACATATGTACATTTCACTTATTACGATAGGTAAATATATTTGCTTCATAGTTTCATTTTTTGTGGGTGATACGTTTTGTTTCAACGTTCTTTTCACGTGAAGGATCAACTAGTAAACACATCGACATGTATAATTTATTTCTTAAAGTAGAGTATCTTAGCAATCAATTTTATAATCACGTACATGTATATACTTTTATTGCAACGCGGAATGCTCGATATATCTCGTGAATCATTTAGCAATCACCTTCTATCCTTTGAAATAAAACGAAACGACAAAGATGGGATACGAGATTACATTTCTGTTAATCCTACGCATTTCTAGCTAACCTCAGCAATCATGTACAATACTTCACGCTACATCATACTAGTACTAGTATTCACATATAATGACATATTCACAAATTCTTTAAATACTTTCCCGATGACTGAACTTTTCGAGTCAGATTATTTTCGTCCTTACTCAACATAATTTTTAACAACTAATATATTAAGATCAAAAGATTAGTTCGCTTCTTATTAATATAATTCACAACATTATAAGTCATGTGATAATTATAAAATAAAATTGTGTCACCAGTAGATATATTTTCCTATTGGAATGATACGAATTTCCTGTGAATGAGCAACCTTGAAATATGCTTCAAAACACGATTCCTTGTTTCTTATCATCACTCTTCTCTTCATTCTTTAGATCGCGTTCAAATTTTTACCTCATGACATGTGTCGCGCTCACTCACATTTACTTAGAATTTTTTCCATTCTTCTGTACAAGCATTTTACGTTCAAAACATGTGTACATTCGATTATTCCTCTCTATGTGAATTATGTCTACTTCAAATTGAACTAGAATTTTACCAATTTACAAGGTAATCGCGCGTTTTTTGCCATTCGCGTAAACGGAAACTCGATGATCAAATATTTTAGACTTCGGACGCAGTAGTCGAAAATGGAAACTTTATTAATAGATACGTTTTATCTTTATACTTCGCGGAAAGTTGGACGGATACGGTGCATAGAGCTTTTTTACTATCATTGACAAAAGTTAGGAGAGATATCAACAGTTCAACGGACGTAGGAGTCCTCGATAAAAGGGGAATGCTAGACGCAGTATGCAGGCACTCCTTGCTCCTAGCGGATGTCGGTCACGCGGGTTTACATACATTATAACCTGTCTCTTCTTCCAATATGGAGACTTACTGTACGCAGTACTATATAGACGTTTCAATCCTATTTCTTTTCTTTAAAACATGACTTCGCAATATTTCACTTAATTCGCTAGGTGGGAGCTACTGGCAGTTATATATAATAATTATGCCATAATTCATTGCTATCATGTTGTTATTAAATATCTATCATGATCGTATCTATCATAAAAGTATGTACCTTCTGATAGCTAGTGAATAAACAGATATACTTTAATATACTGTGTGGATAATTTAATAAATAAGGCAGAAAGGCACGAGTTTCTAATAATCCTTGAGAATGTCAACAAAGCATTTTGTGATATTAGTATCGTAGATACAGTATGGATGCCATTAATTTAAATTCATTTTTGTTTCAGATTAATATTTCCACCGTCGAGTAGGAAGAAAACGAAACTGTCAAAATGCCGAAAACGGTATGTGTATTTCGTTAGAAATTTAAATTGTGTTTAGAGAGATTGTATACAATTAGAATAGAATACGTGTATCAGTACTTCAGTAATTTATTATATTATTTACATACCTATCAAATCGCAGTGACGAGGAACTAATTTCTGCCATACGGAGAGTTCTTTCCTTGTACCATTATGTACGTCAGAGAGAAAATCATGTCAGCAAATTGTATGCGTAATCATTTGATCACATTTTGAATCAAATAACGTTGATCGCGTCGATGAACGCAGGAACCGTTCATTGTTGAGAAGTTCTTCCGTACACCCGGTATTTTAACGCAACGCTGATTGGCTACAGCTATACGCACCGGCTTCCTCACGTGACCACTTTTACCTTGTCTCTTTTCCTTTTGCGACTTTACCTATGATTCGGAAAGAGAGGGACAACGATGCATCGCCTTGTGAGAGGAAAAAGTGGGGGGAAAGACCCGCTGCCGGTTGCACTTGCCCCTTTAGCCCATTGTCTGAGACGTCGGACTTCGGGCCGGCAAAAGCTGACAGTCGAACGTTCAAATTCGTACGATATTGAGTGCTTTCCTCGGGTTTCAACGGTGCACAGAGTTCCAAAAATTCACAGTGTCCCATTAAAATATTTCATTCATCTTTGCTGCTGCTAATATAGAATCCGTGATACTAAATCGATTCATACCTTCTCTCAACGGTTTACGGTTTGCTCTCGTTTGAATTCGCGTTCTTGTATGATCGCAGCCATGGTTGCCGGTGCTAAAATGGTAAGCGTTTCTGTGATTCGGTTGTTATTTTACAGAATCGTTTGCGATAATCTGCCTTCTCTAATTGATAGGGATTCAAATTATTGTTGGTTTACGAATTATTTATCCTTTTCTAAGCGTAAATGTATAACACATTCATGAATGAAGAGGGTTAGAAACTTAGAAGTAGCGTCCTATCTATCGGGTGAAATGCACAGATTTATCTTAACATACACATTTTCGGTTTCTTTCTTTGCCTATGAAGATGAACGTCAGGGTGACGACGATGGACGCCGAACTGGAGTTCGCGATCCAGCAGACAACAACTGGGAAACAACTGTTTGACCAGGTTGTAAAAACGATCGGACTCCGCGAGGTGTGGTTTTTCGGTCTTCAGTACACGGACACTAAAGGCGATCTGACGTGGATCAAATTATACAAAAAGGTAGGATGACAGGTTATTTATTTACTAATTTTCTCAATTGTCCACGAGATGGTACTTTTAAGAACGTAAATAATTTAGAGCTTACCTAGAGTTGCTTCAGCGTGAAACATGATCTGTTATTTCCTCATCTCTTGCCATGTATTCACTGCTTTTTTTCAAAGGTATTTAGTGTGATTTGTATTTAAGTAGGAAAATTGCTTTCACGAGATAAATGTTCGTAAGACACGTGAAGCAGTACGTACTGCGTGTAAATAACTTTGCTGGTTGGTTACTTTAGAAAATATAGGTGTATATCATTTAATTCTTTCCACAAGTTAAGATCAGAAGATTCTTCCGATTAAACCTCGTTCTAATAAAATTGTAGCAGAAAACATTGAATTCTTATCGAACAAAATTCTCTCCCTTGTTACACAAATGTTATAAACAATTATTAGGGTCTTAAAATGCAATGAATATTCTTATTCAGTATGCATGGTTTTGTGGTTCTATACAAACTTTTGTTTTCAATTATTCATCAATGACATGCAATAAACATTTATGTTAAGTTGAAAAGAGCGCGTGGCTGATATTGATTGCATTCACGACCAGACGTTTACGTTAACTCGATAAAAAGTGACCTAGGGAGAGATGTGACGCTGGATGCTGATGTCATCGACTTTCGTACATTTGTTATGTACAATTTTAGGCTTGACGCAGACTTATCTTTGAACACTGTATAACCGATATTTCACTCGTCGAAAATAGAAGTACTTATTGTGTTTAAAAAGTCGTAAATTTTGTACGATAGGCTAAATGTAGTATTTCTGCTTAATTATACGTGACTTAAGCTTCTACACGATTTGAAGTACAGTTACGGCCAAGTAGATGTTCCATTTGCTTTCACTCTGGTTGACGTGTAGACGTATCTTCACCTTGACACAGTCGCGTTTGTCCTCGCGTCGTCATTTCTTCTATGAGTTTCAACATTTGTGCGTACTGATTAAACGTGACCACATTTTGAGATATCTCACTTTCAATTATATACACATATACATGCGTACCTGCTATTTTCCCTTTGTTCTCGTTCTTTTAATGAGAAGTATGCCGGGTATTATTACCGATCGCAAAATAAGATTCGTGTATTGTTGAAGTATGCGATTGCCTGGTGAAATTTAACTTGATTGCACATGGAAACGGGAAAACCATCGAGGTTTTACTAGGAAATATCTATTAACAGGAATCTTTTGCGGTTTTGAGATTTATTTATGAATTTTTTATTTCACTGAAGGATATTCCTTACCTTCCCTATGCATTTCTGGGTAATTGGGAATTATTAATTCTAAATAACTAGTCTTGTGTTTTGTTCTTTCGAACAGAAACTAGGCTTTAGTTGTGCTTGTATCAAGTATAAATTATTTCGGAACTTGAATAACGGGAAATACAAGAAACTACTATAACTTTATCATTTCAACGATTGTGGAATGACTTATGAAATAGATCAAAGACTGAAGTAGAAGTTTCTTTTTACTTCTTAAATACTTTTAGTAATTCATTTGATTAAAAGTAGGAATTACGTAAAGTAATTATGCTTTTCATTAGTTTTCATTGTTACAAGTGACAATGAACGATCCTACTGTAACATGTACATTAGCATAACAATATGTAGGATGGAAGTAAAGCAGCCTATAGCGGCCATTACTATTCTGTAGAAAATGTAGTATCCTTAATGTATCGAGTGTGATCACTTCGTTGTATATCTCTAGAAATGGGAAGAAGTGATACATTCTTTATTTCTTATGAAGACATTAAATATGTATTTTGTTCCTTATCTAATCTAATCAATTAATTGCCTTATGATGTACTATTGGAATTGTATTATTGGAAAGTCCAGAATTTTGAACACATATTCGAGGTATAAATTGTTAAAAAAATGGTACGATTTTATATATTGTTTTGTCCTGGAAAGTTTGTGCGTTGGAGAAAATCTATTAGTTGGCAGTGTAGCAAATTCGTTGATCCGTTATAAAAAAAAGGGGTAAAGAGAAATGTGTCGCTTACTCCTCGAACCGCTAAGTGATACCCCAGTATGGAGAGGCTAGTACGTATCCGGTTGGGTTCAGTAGACTTTTTCTTTAACAACTAGTGAACGATTACACGCAGCCGGAAAATGCGATAACGAGGGTGGTGAAGAAAAAGCTGAGGAAGAAAGTTCGAAAGCTGAGAGGTCGCTCGGACTCGGACACGGACGACGACGAGTTTGAGGATGACCTGGTAAGCGACGAGAAGAGAGACTCTGGTTTCTCACGTTCGGAGATTCTTCAGCGTGGAAATTGGAAGGAAGGTTTCGAATGAATCGAGAGAGAGAGAGAGAGAGAGAGAGAGAGAGAGAGAGAGAGCGAGCGCGCGCGTAAGAGTCGGTAGTAAAGACAAATAGGTTAGCGTTCTTCAAACTCTGGTCAAGAGAGAACACGTTCGCTTAGGAAACTTGATGAATACTTATAACTTTATGGCGATAATGAATTTTTGTAGAATGGGGTTGTGTAGGTTATTTCTTCATATTGAACCGTATAGGCAATCTTGTTGATAAGACAAATTCCGGAACAATAGTAATTCTTTTTCATTTGATAGTCACGAACTGTAATAAAAATGTTAGATGAAAGGAAAACATTGAATCCATAGTTGTAGCTATTCTCCCTTCAGGTCTGTGAAATTATTTGGGAAGAACAATTTGATTACTTAATTATTTTATTTTCTAGTACTATATTACTCTAAATATATGATTAAAATGCAGTTACTTCGCAGTAGAGCAATCGTGATGATAGTGAGCAAAAAAAAATGAGTAAGTAAATCGGACGTGATTTTTCTGTTAGGTAGTAGCAATCGATGTTCAGCTTTCTAAAGAACGTTATATTCCAATCCGGTTGCGGAGCACCGGTTTGCATTTTTCTTCGTGTTTCCGTACATTCTATTTAACGCTTGGTTTGATCAGCGTTCACAATGTAATCTATCTTTTAAAACATTACGCTTCCTCGGAAAACCTCAGTATCAAACCGTGTTATCTTCGTGCTTTCGAACGATATAACGATTACGTTACTTTTTGAGAGTGTATGTTTCGTAAAGTAAATTGTGGCGCTACGAAATGAGAGATGTCGTCAACTGGTCTTTAGAGGAATATGGCTTATCAATCGTGCTCCGCAGGTGCGATAAAAGAAAATAATTGAGCAGAGAACGAGCACATTCCGTCGTGCATTATATTCGTAGAGGCGGGGACTGTTTTTATCAACGGGTTCAGCCGCAAGTGCGTTACGTCAATTGCATGAAAATAACGCGACTGATGACTCATTACGTAGGCACCATTTAAGGAAATCGAGAAGACCGTCCTCCCGTTGACTTCATCCTAAAATCTAGTCACCTCTGTCGCTGTATGGCCTTGTTAAATGTGCTCGTGGCCTGGTTATTACTCAGGAAAACAAAAACGTGTACATAAATGTGTAATTAGTGCGTACAGCATGAACGTACAGTTTTTCCGCAGCTTTATGAATAGAGATTCGAACATGGGTTTGATAAATCGTCTGTAGGTTCGCGGAGGGAAAGAGTTGTATGATGATAGGCCGAACTAAAATTCTCTATAAATGAATATAAATAAATCTTTCTTGATAAATATCCATTTGATGAGTACAATGAATGCATATTACATTTGGGTAATGTTTAGTTAATGTTTAGCTCTTGTTGTCTTGCGTTTAGGCAGTTTTGCCTGTATGTTTATTTGCCAATATGTTTATATTGACTACGATCACATAATGTGAAATCGTTATTGCTAGAACTGATATGATAAATAATGTCCTACACGTATCCTTGATACCTCTTTAATCATTTATTACTTACGACAAAAAAGAGCAAAAACACACACAGTCTGTTGAATAAGTTATATATTAAAAATCAGAATTCTTATACCTTTTTATGAAAGGATAAAAAATTGGGCATACTTGAATATTTCATGAAAGTAATTTTATCCAATAAAATAATAATATTTATTCCTGTGAAAACCAGCTCGGGAAAGTGGTGAAATCAATGTAAATCATCAAGTCTTCTTTTTAGTTATATTGGTAATTTTAGATGAATCCAAATAAACCTGAGTCTATCTCATGAAAAGGAACAATATACAGTTCACGGACTTAGGAATATAGGTATTTGATCTATATGGTCGAAGGATTAGATATACATAGGTATACACGTGGTAGAGTGCGGTTGAATCACGTCAGCCATCTTAGGATTTCGTTTTATGGGGGAAATACAAATTGATACAAAGTTCCTGAAGGAACGTGTTTTGTTGATTCGTAAGAAGTAGAAAGTAATTTTTCCTCAAGAAAAGCCTTTTCCGGGTTGTATCAATTTCCCCATTTCTTTTAACATTCAATTTCAAAAGTAATTATTCATCAAGACATGTCAAAATTAAGAGTATATGTTGCGGCAGAGAAAGGATTCTCTATCTACTTACTTTTGCTCTATTGTACTGCAAGTTTACATTGATTTCATGATTTTTCAGATTTCATCGAGTATAGGGATTCATAGGTTTATTTGAATTCATCTAAAATTACCAATATGACTAAAAGGATAACTTGACGATTTACATTGATGTCATCACTTTCCCAAGCTAGTTTTCACAGGAATGGATATTATTATTTTGTAGGATAAAATTATTTTCATGAAATATTCAAACTTGTCCAGTTTTTTACTTTTTCATGCAAAGGTCAGTTTTTATTGGAGATTTCACAACTTTCACGAGGCCTAATGATGGTTTACTGTGAATAAAAGTATTTTTAATATTTTGTTAAGTGCTGTAGTACTTTACTGTACTGTAGTGTAAGTGAAGTGTACAGTTCAGCGATAGATTAACTCGTATCCGCGAGTATAATTACCATGCATACTCTGACTATATTCGTTCTAAAAAGAGGACAAGTATTTTTAGCAGATTTCGGCGACTTTTTCACAACGATCATTTCGTTCATCTGAAACCATTGGTAGTTTGACGTACCATCTTCGTATAATGTTCAGATTGAACACTGTTACCATAATGAAAGACCGCATTAATGACATTATAGTATTTATTTTTTATACATACTTTCGCGGTTGATACATCACGAATTTTAAGATTATTTATTGGAGGTCATTTCATAGTAATTTCACATGGGTTTATATCTTCAGGTTTATACTACTATACCTTGAGGTCGTCTCCACATGAGACAAGAATGAGATGAATAATGAATTTGTCGCACGCGGTATCCTTATTCCGATTACTTTGCACGTATACATATATTTTTACGCAAGGGACAATGTTAATGTTCTACTTGAGTGCTTAAGCAAAAGACAGTATTAGATACACTGTTAAAATACAACCGCGCGTTTAATCCCTTTAGGAATGCTAATATGCCTAAGCCCGTTTACCTCTTTAGCTTGAAATCAGTGGCTCATACAGATGAATAGTCTTCTTTCTTTCGAAAAACGTCTTTGAATTTCAAAATTTATATTTTACAATACTTCATAAAGAAATGCAAATAATTCTAAAATATTTTGTGACAAATAATACACATTTACGGAGTTCAATTTTTTCTTCAGTCAGATGCAGATTTTATTACAATGTATTCATTCCTTTATATGTGTCCGTTTCCTTTATTTCAATAAAATTTTCAAGGAAATGTAACAAAATTCATTTGCCATGAAATTTTCTAAGAATTGCAAACTCATTGGCGAATGATTTCGAAGAAATGAATTTTATTCAGAAATAGTAGCGGTTCGCAACAAGCCGTGGATCAGTAAGGCGACACAGGTGCGCATACGCTTACCTGTGGACTGTGGCTGGTTATGTAACACGTTACAGACTCCAGCAATTGGCAAACGATATTCCGTGTGCGGCCACGTAGCCAGACGATGTCTCTCTTGTACTTTTTTTTTATCATCTTCAAGACACAGTTGATGTTTAAATTATCGGCGTGTACTGCAAGGACATTCTGATAGTCTGTTGTTTATAAGTCTCGTCTATTTCTGCATTTGATCTGTATGGAATGTCTGCAGCTATATAAGATCGAATCTCGAATAAATTAGAGTGTAACGTTACCGTCTACTATAATTTATCATAAAGTAAGATCGAAAAGCACTGTATCCTATGAGATTCCATTTAATTCTTGCGTTTGGCTAGATTTAGATATAATGAAAATTTTTTCGTAAAAACGAGACTGCTGCAATTCACTTTAACAGGTGATCGCATCTGATCTCATGTGCTTGAGTTCTTGACTCACTTTATATAAATAGAAATGCGAAACGTGAATCAACGCAAACAATAAAATATATTACAGATATTTCGTAATTACATCACACTGGAGAATTTTGATAAATTACGAGATATAAACTCCTCAAAATTCGGTGAATTTTGCATTGGATAGAAATATAATCCGAGAAAAGTCGTGAGATTAATATTAAGGTGAAATGTATGAAGATAAAAGTTATCTCTCATAGCTTTATTTGTTGATGATGAAACGAACATTTAAAATCTTAAGTATAACGTTATTTATACCTTGGGGCATACTTAGTAACCTGTGGCGACAAACGAAACGCTATAAATTAAATTATTCCTGGTACTTACGTGTATCGTTTAATGCGATTAACCAGCTGAATCATAAGATAAAATTCGTTATATATTTAATAACGTATGCTTTATCTGCGACGTGAGATTATGCATTTATATTGGAATTCTTTTCTTCTTTCTCTCTTACTTTTTCCAAAGCAGAAAAATATAAGTATCCTTGAACATCGTGACTCACATCATGTTTTTAGAGTATACACTTACAATGGCATTATACCAATTGATTTATTAAATAAATGCATAATTCTATTCATTCGCACAGTAATTTATGAAAAAATTGGTGATTGGTTGACAGATTTTTCTCTTTTCTATAATTTTTTCACTTCTTATTGTGTATATGCACACATGAAATTATTAATAGTATTGAATACGACTTGCTAATTTTAATTGATATCTTCTTTAACGAAGTATTAATTAATTAGTTGACCAAAATGTATGATGCATTGCTAAATTTAAGACGGTATGCGTATCGGATTAGTACCTATGTGTAAACTAAACTTACTAAACAATGTACTAAACTGATGGTAGCATTCGAGAGTGTATCCTACAGTTTTAGTAGATTAATTTTGTTGGTTTGCTATGTGTGTGTAAGATGAGTAATAGAACGTACTTTCCTGAAGTACGGTTTTATCACAAAACAATGATTTTATCATGAAGCATTAGCTTTATAAGGTGTATAGCACATATCTTCATATTGTCCTTTGTCTATCTGTGTGGACGTCTTTGAAATTAATGGGTTTTTGTACGTTTTCCATTTGGGAAGAGGATGACTGAAGTTTCTGACGTATACAGTAATTTTAAAGACGGGCATATGGACAAGACATCATAATCGCTTATTCGTATACTTGAACTTTAACATATTTTTATGCTTTGAACGCATGCCAACCGCAATACTAACAACTGGAAGAGTGGACTATTTCCGTTCTTGTCTAGGGTAAGTTACTACAATTTTAATCATGTCGTATAATGAATTATGTGTGTTATACATTACGTCTTCAAGTCGTACAAAGAATAAGGATTATTCGCGCAATTTTACATATAATGCACTAACTATAAGTGTTGCTTTACTATACTCATCATGATACGTGATTTCCATTATGCGTGTGGTTAAGTAATATTTTACATTACGTCGGTTGTGTAATTTCTTGTCTCTTCTATTTAAGTAAAAAATTCTTAATTTGAAAAATGACGAGTGGCGCTGTGAATTTCCTAAAATCTTCTTTTAAATTATTCTCGTACTTTCAATTTTCGTCGACTCCTCGTCCCGTTCTAACTATTGTCTTTAAATTATTTCCGTATGATAAGAATGACAGTATAGCGGACATACATATGTATACTGTATAGATGTTGAGACATGTGTATACATGTTGGGAACAGATATCGGAAGCAGATATTGAAAAAATTCGTAAGGAAGAGAATAAAGTATAGTTGAATAATGCGACAGAAAAAAATATTAATACCAAGCATTTAATATTGTTTCCACTAGAGGAGTTAATAAGTCTCCAAATGACATTCCTGATTTTACGATGTTCACCGTTTTTTATTTGCTTTATTTCTTGGCGACATAAGTAAATGCGGCAAAAACCTATTATTTGCATATCGTCATTTGCCGCATATTATAATAATATTAAATAATTAGCTTACGTGTACTTCTGTTATAATTTCATGGTGCTACCGCGGAGCGTTTTCAAATCGTGACTAGTACGATTTATCGATGTCCTTGAAGCACGTTTCTAATGTCTATCGTACGATACTGAGTTTCAATTCATAGTAGCGCGGTACGTGGCAAACGTATCTACTATGTAAGGATAATGTATTTAAAGAGGCGAAAAATAATTTTTCTTACCAATGTATATGCAACTCGAAGATAAAATTATTTCAAACATGTTATATTTATTATTAGTACGATGTTCAGTAAACTTTGCTAGTCCGTGTTATCAGTAAAACATTCATTAAACCCTTCTAGTTTATCGTAATTCATTCATTGGTATCTAACAACTTTTTTTCGTTTTGATCAGATTAGGTCAGATAGTAGCTTTTATTAAAGTCTACTCATTGAATTGCTTTCCGAGTCAGTGAGTACATATTTTTTAATGGAATTTCATTTCTCAGTTGCAAACTATGTATTAGACCTTGATAATACATCAAGAATAAATTGATACTTGCAGCATAATCCATTGGCCATATCGTAATTCTTCATATTTATTGAGCTGATGATTCATCTCTGACGCGTTGCATGTCCACGAAAATAGCGAGATAAATGAATGATTTTCACGATCCTTTTACCGTCGATTGTTCTGAATTATCTACATGACATACATATATTGGCAAATTGCAGGTGGTTCCGTGCGGCCTTCGAAAATTCTGGCACGTAAGACTATGATTAAAATTTTCTAACGACGTGAATCAAAAGATAATTGCCCCAGCGCCTGGATTAAAATCCTCGAACTAAATTATAACACACTGTTCTTGATTATACTGTTCCTGTCCTGTTCAATAGGATAAGCTTTTAGTGTTTTGCGAGCTCGATTAACGTCGATGAAAAGCCAATTGTTCGGTTCTATACGTTTTCTTGTGTAAATTATGTAATTGTTAATTTTAACCAATTGTTTGCGTAACTGTCCTGGTGCCTATTGACACATTGCAAATTGTATTCGTTATGCATTATCTATTGCTAAATTGAACATGTGTTTCTATTTCACGTGTATAATCATTGATCATCTTCTGTGACTTAAAAAATAACACAATTTTAGATTCACCGATACACGTTGACACGTATTTATTGGACAACAATAATTAATTGAGGATTAATATCTTGGCGCTCGTAAAAAGATAGCTATTTCAATTATTGCTTCTCTCATCACGCATCTGAGGGTTAACGAGATTGACGAACATTTGAAACCTAACGATAAAAAAATAAATAAATAATATTCTCATAATTACATCAGACGTTCACAGCACTTCAACGAACTGACGTCGGTCAAATTATTTAATCAGTTTGATTTATATCTATCATTAGCAAAACGTGCTATTTCTTACTTAATCGATTAAAGAGACTGTTATTAACCGACGTGTCCCGTAAAGATTCGCACGCTTATTATACTTGCAATCGCTATGCACCCCTCAGTATTTATCTTTTTGTTTCAATTATTGTTGTTTTCGTCCTCGTTTCCGTACGTGAAATTATGCAACAGAACAGTAGTATTAATAGTAATTATTAGAAGTCACGATGTCGGCATTGAACTCTGTGTCAGCTCTGGTCAAGGCAGCCGTGTCCAGAGATCCGATTGACACTTCCGTGCGTGGACACTGGCGGATGCAGTTCCGCATTCGCAGTCCAAAGAATGTATTCGTCATAAATAATCGAACACAACTGTGTAATTCATTTGTTTCACGCAATCCTGAACCATGAGTTTTCATTTAAAAACATGGTTTTATTGTGGAAATTTAATGAAAATTACGAGTTGTATTCATATTTAGAAAGAACTGGACCGGCAAAATCCAAGCATTTAAACGTACACTGAAAATGATTAATTATAATTTAATCGACCTCATTCTATGGATCTTAAGATTCCATACATTTTCCTTATTACATTTTTTAAAACGAGTTCTTAATACACGTGCCTTATCATTCAGTAACATTGTAAATATAATGGTGCTCAATTTTCATGTGTGATACAACACGTTTTGAATTTATGTCTTTGTGATAGCAAACAATAGTTAAAATATTTATCTCTTTATCTTTCAATTAGTGTCTTCTTTTCATTCTAAAGTAAAGAAAATTCTATCCAAGGGATTGATTTAATCTATTTTGAATTGAAAAAGGTTGCTATTGAATTTAAGTGAACAATGTATAAGGAATTCTGCAGTTAATTTTATAATCACGTGGAAATAAATAATTCAAATACAGTAAATGTTTCATTTCTAACATTTTTATCAATTGACGTAGATATAGTATGATGTGAAATTGTAAAGTAGTAATTGAAAAGGTGTACTTCCTGCAGTTTAATCTTCCAATTTTCTTTTACGTGCTTTAGATAAGATTATCTATAGTCGCAACTATACGTACACCACTGCAGATAATCATTTTCGTTCAAAGCGTTGTCGTAATCGTCATAACAAGACAACTACACGTTTTACGTTTTCACCTACCGCCTTTGTATCTTTTAGAGATCGATAAAATACCTAATATGGATTTCATGGCGATCATATATTTCCGTGATGTATTCCATTATGTATGAGATTATATCTATCTAAAACTCTACTGTAAATAGAGAGTCCGTTTTCTTATATTGCTGTGACTCCGTAATACACATCACATATAAATAATGCGATAAAAACTTGGTAGATCAAAGATCGTATTGATCATATTTTAATGTAATTTTTACCGTTTATCATCGAATGACGTCATAAGAATTTTTAGTCACATCATTTTGCATGCAAATGTCATTATTCCATCGATATACCGATGAGAAAACACATTTGGCACGTTTTGAAGTAATGGAATGATATACCAGTTTGTTATTTGATTTCCGATCTATTACCTTTGCTCTGGTCAGGCTGAGTTGTTAATCCGTGTGCAAATATCTTAGGTGATGAACCAGGAAGTCAAGAAGGAGACTCCTCTACAGTTCAAGTTCCGCGCCAAGTTCTATCCAGAAGACGTTGCCGAGGAATTGATTCAGGATATTACGTTACGTCTTTTTTACCTTCAGGTATAGGCTTATATAATTAATGTTTTTTGTCGGATACTTAAAAGAAAACTGATCAGTAAAATCCAACGATATACATAGCTCAGAAATTGAACAGTGTCATTTTGAACCTAAATATACGAGTCGATATTAAAGTATTTTTGGATGTTAATTACATTTAGGTAAAGAATGCTATTCTTACGGATGAAATCTATTGTCCTCCGGAAACATCTGTATTGCTAGCCTCCTATGCAGTACAAGCAAAACATGGAGATTACCAGAAAGGTACGTATACTGCTGGTTTTCTGTCAAGTGATCGCTTGCTACCGCAGCGAGTTGTGGACCAACACAAGATGAGCACAGAGGAATGGGAAAGCTCGATTACTAACTGGTGGCAAGAACATCGTGGAATGTTACGCGAAGACGCTATGATGGAATATTTAAAAATCGCTCAAGTAACTATTTGCTGATTTTTTTACTTATTTCTATGTTAACACAGTTTACACGTTACATTTCGTTAATTTTTTTTACAGGATTTAGAAATGTACGGTGTGAATTATTTCGAAATCCGTAATAAGAAAGGTACAGATCTTTGGCTAGGCGTTGATGCCTTGGGCTTAAATATTTACGAGAAAGATGATAAGTTAACACCGAAAATCGGGTTTCCATGGTCTGAGATAAGAAATATCTCATTTAATGAGAAAAAATTCATCATTAAACCAATCGATAAGAAGGCCCCAGATTTTGTATTTTTCGCAACTAGAGTTAAGATTAATAAACGAATTTTGGCATTGTGCATGGGCAATCACGAACTTTATATGCGCAGACGTAAACCTGATACAATTGATGTACAACAGATGAAGGTATTTTTCTTACAATATTGAAAAATACGTTGCAGTTAATAAATTATTCCTGTATCTTAAAAACAATATTTAAAATTTCAAGGCTCAAGCCAGAGAGGAGAAAATCGCCAAGCAGCAACAAAGAGAAAAGTTGCAATTGGAAATAGCTGCAAGAGAACGCGCAGAGAAGAAACAACAAGAATACGAAGAAAGGCTTCGAAATATGGCAGAGGAGATGGATAGGCGGAAAGCCGAATTGACAGAGGCCCAAGAAATGATTCGACGTTTAGAGGAACATCTTAGACAATTACAAGCTGCAAAGGAAGAATTAGAGGATCGCCAGAAGGTATGTACCATGTAATGTAAAATTCAAAATTAACATACCTCTCATGCGTGATATTATTAGGAACTCACGGCTATGATGGAGAAACTTGAACTTTCACATGAAATGGAAGCGGCAGAACGTGCTAAACTTGAACAAGAAATCAAAGCTAAGCAAGAAGAAATACAGCGCATACAATCTGAGGTAGTGGCGAAAGATGCTGAAGCAAGGAGGCTTGAAGAAGTATTTGAAGCTGCCAAGTACGTGACGTCTTTGTACTTTTATGTCTGCAACTACGAGAAGGAATGTTTAGATTGCGAGAAGGAACGCATATTTTAAAATCATAACGTTCTGCATATAGATTGAGGCAAGAGGAAGCTGATCGGCCATATCAAACTAATAACACACCGCATCATCATCATGTTGAAGAAAATGAGGAAGGCGAAGAAGAAGGAGAAGACGAGGTGTCTCATGGTGATGTTACTAAAGATCTTGCAACTGACGAATCGATAATCGATCCAGTCGAGGAACGACGCACTTTAGCAGAAAGAAACGAACGTCTTCATGATCAACTAAAGGTATTAACCTATTTACATATATTTATCATGCTCTGATGAAGTGCATTTCAGTATTACAATATTTTATAATAACAAATGTACGTTTTTTAGGCCCTGAAACAAGATCTTGCACAATCACGCGATGAATCAAAAGAAACTGTCATGGATAAAATTCACAGGGAAAATGTGAAACAAGGTCGTGATAAGTACAAAACACTTCGTGAGATTCGCAAAGGCAATACTAAACGTCGTGTCGATCAATTCGAGAACATGTAAATTATGTATGCATTTGCCTATATTTGTCTGCCTATTTCATCCCGTCTTTGAATTCTCTTCTGCCTTCCTGTACACGTGAAGTCGAGTAATCATGTATTCTACATGAAAAAGACGTACAGATTCTCTTATTGGTTTATACAGAGATCATTTGTAAAAATTCAGGCATGTCATTTTATAATACTTTTTGGAGATATTTCCAGGTATAAGACACTCGATTTACAGCGTCAACGAGTAAAGTTTATAATATGTATTATTATTTTTCGATTTTGATTCTATACTCTGAGGTACAGCTAAGTAAAAAGCTCTCATGATTGGTAAGGAACGCGAAGAGTGAGCAACTTGTGCCGTCTTCCATGTATGCTTCCACATTGATAACTTTTCAATGACTTTGCTTAAAGAAAAGTGTTTATATATTTTTTCATAACAAGCAGTAATTTCTTTTTTAATTTTAATTGCAAGATATTTGACGGTGATTTATAATAGATTCTTTTTGTTTTTTTTTGCTGAAATACCAAGAGAATTACGTTATGCAATTTGTGAATATTATTTTATTTTTGTCCAAGCTCTATATACAAGATCCTGAATACCGGCTATGCAGTATTTTTTTTTTTCGATATATCACAGTCGGTCTTTAAGAATAACATCACGCATGTGACTTTCTCTCTGATTACCTTTTCGTCGTGATCCTTATCATCGTTGCGTATAGTTCATCCTTGATAAGGATTTGCTCGAGGAAACGTTTTGTATTATTATTTACATTACCGTTTTGCTTTTGTTGATGGATTAATATTCTTTTGTCAATAGCGGTCACTATACATTTAACATTTATACATATCGATTCCAGTTTTATCCTGATTTATCATTTTAATATTTACAGCAGCAAACGTAAACAAAGCAATAGATGAATTAATATTTGCATGCAGTATGAAGGAGTCAATAATATTTTTTCAGTAAGTTGTAATTAATCTCTGAATACCAATTTTGAATAGAATAATACAGCAGAAGTGACCGCTTAATTTATGAAATATTCAACGATATCCGTCTTCACAATCATTGTAGAGATCTAAGCACGAGATACGAACTGTTTGCAAAATTATACATATATACTATTTTAGTATGAACGAATTTCAACTACTGTTTAGTGATTTTATATTAAACACACTCGTGGCCTTTATTAATATACATACATTAAAATATTAGATATACTAGAAATCAGTAATATAATATAGCGACGTGTAGGGATATCGCGTGCCTCTTTGTATTGCATACCTTCAACATAAGGTAATTGCGCGGTTCCTAGAAAAATGGGATAATAAGTATCAAGATTCTTAAAAGCATGAGAGCGAATGTGTGCATGAGAGGAGTGAAAGACAATAAAGAATAATATGTACGAAAGATTGGATGTTAGGGGAACTATGATACGTGACTGTCTGGTACGTCATGTAATAATTTTAAAACAACTTTTTTTTAAAAGAAGATGATACTATGCAACAGTCAAATGAATTAAACTAAAGAACGAGGGTCACCATAATAGCCCATATGCTGCCTATTTTTTGACGGAATGCAAACAAAGAGCGTTATTATAATATGACAGTCTTTTTGGCCTTAATAAAACAGGAAACGTACTGAGAAAGTCTGGAAGCTGAACACTTTCGATTCATATTTGGATATATTACTGTCATCACCTGTTGCAAGTAAACATGAAAGCAACAATACAGGAAAAATAACACAATAGATATTTTTTGATTATATTTAATACTACAATTTACAAATTAGTAGTGGTCTATTATTATTGTATTATTATTATTATTATTATTATTATTATTATTATTATTATTATTATTACTATTATAATCAATGATAAAAAATTACTGTTTTTATAAAAACTGAATATTCTACCCATTAAACGCTTGGCAAGGAAGATACTCCTCAGACATTCCAAGAGAAAAAATGATTTGCATAAAATATTTTTCATCTACGTTGGGGTTCCTCGCTCATTTATAAGATTTGTAAAAAATTATTTTTGTTATATAATTACATATGTATATACGTTATACATACACATATATGTCCGAAATGTACTTAAATACATCTAATATTCAAAACTAATATAAAGATGCTTTGTTTATTCACAAACAAAAGAGTCTATAGCAGCCCTAACGTGGATTGTTAAATGATTTATGTTCCTTATGAAGGCAATGAAAACAGAATTATTTTTCCATATATTATAGTTGTAAATATGTAAATTGCCTTGTCAAAATTCTGGCCTTAAACACGATAAAGGTAAATTAGTATCCAACATGCCTTCGTGAGGATATTTAAAGAAATTAAATGGTGTGCATCGCGTTGTCGGTGCTATAATCTTTTGCGATATATCCAAGCGTATAAAATTAAGGTAGGAGGACATGCATTTTTATCATTAAACAAGTTTTTATAATTCTATTTGATGACATTTTTAGATTCCAATATTTATTGCCGAGGATATTTCATTTTTATATTGAGAAAAAAATGGTAGCAGTATTATTGAACAATTGAAATAACAACACATATTTAACACAATATACGATAAAAAGCGCATAGACATTGTATTTTATTGAGAACATTATTATTTGTTGGTGCGAGGATGTGTGAAAAATCACTTGTACTTTGCTGAGAAGTTAGACATTGTTTAAATAAAAAAAAGATCATATCACATGCGTTAGGTATATTATCAGAATCCTAATTCCCCTCTTTTTGGCTTTGGTAAAAGTATCTTCAAATTGAAAAGTGCATAACTTTCATTGCTGGTAGTTCCAGCATTAACTTAAAATAAATATCTCTGATCTTCAAAGTCTCTAAGTTCTATACTGTTTTATAATAGCTGACGAATTGTGTTCCCATTTCGGTGACGTTTTCTTACCGCGATTTAAAATCGCCCGCGCCTACCACGTGACAGTTGCATTTATTAAACACCTGTTTACATTGTAAATGGCAACAGCGCACGAATATTACGCTGTGCACCTGCGCTTAGTTCTTGAGGGGTGGACTGGGTGGACATCGACGCGTTACGTTGGCTGTGAGGTGTGTGTTATTTACAAAGAATGTTACGTTACGATAATCAAAGTAATTCTGCACAAAATCCTTTTTCCGGGTCGTCCGACGACGATACTGGTTATGTTAGGTGAGTCTTCTTTTGATGTTTGCTCCACCACGTGGTTCGCGCAACTCAAAATGTTATAAAGACAGCACCGGCAAGATTTGCGATTGTTACGATGTCTGTTTTGTTTACTTGTCATTATCTTTCAATTTCTTACGATTTTGATTGTTGACAAGCGTAAATGAATTATCAATACGTGCTTGCAATGAACGACGACATAGAATTGTATTGCGTACGTTTATGATCTATCTAATGTCGCTTTCACTAAGATGACATTCGTCAATTATTTTGTTACCGATTAATTAATTGGCATTTGGCCGTGGCAAAGTGTCAACATACGATTAAAAGTGATCTGCGAGAATGACACAAAAGTAATCATTGTATACTCTATATCGGGATGCGTGGTTAATTCCATATGAATGCCACTTAGAGTGCTTGGTAATTTAATATCTACAATACTTGTTATATACAACATCCTACAATTGCTGCTTCTGCCAATTTGAATTGACGACATACTTATGCACACGCATTAAGACATTTTCATATATACGATTAAATCATATCATGTATTTAAGTCGAAATGACAATGTTAAATATATAGTTTTAATTAGTTCTGCCGTCTACAATCCCATAAAGGTAGACTTATTTTCAAAGCATCAGAACTTTTGACTAAACTATTAAATACTACAAGAAAATCTTTATTACACGTAATGATCAATGTTTTTTGTACTGATTTAAACACGTATGTACTTGTGTAATAATACAGATTTAGATTTTTGTATTTTATGACATGATGTATATAAGTACATACATGCATTTACAGTAAAAAGGGTTCGAGCAGTCCAACAAGCGAATTCGACGATTCAATTCAAGCGATGTGCGATATTTACGGACAGACACCACCGAGAACTCGTCTGAATCGCAAGAAACGTTACATGAAGCAGAAGTTCGGGGGGTAAGTTTAAACACTATTTCTATTCCAAGGTTTCTAACAGTCTATTTTTCCAGTATATTTTCCTAAATCACTTTGATTATTCACACGCGTTCTTAGTTTGAGTAAACGAAGAAAGTCTGAGTTTCTAAAGAACTTAGTAAGTGTTTGAAAAGGAGCATTCTAACATTCTACTTGTATATGTCACGACTTCTTAAAGTAGCATGTTCGAATCTTAAAAGTTGCTCTTTTTTATAATATGTTTCTAAATACGTTTATCTGATGCAATACTTTCTTTCACAAAAAACAGTGCTAACACTGTAAACTGTTTTCTTTGTAACAAAGTTGAAAATTAATAAATGATTAGCATTTAAATAGACTTTGTACGTTACATACTAATATGAATACGCAGCCTCAGTGCAATGCAAGTGTTTCAAGAAATATACCATAAATCACCTTTGTTTGTGGAATTAACTAAAAATAGAATTTCTTAAGATATCTTCAGTTTCGTGACCTTACGTTAAGATGTATTTATTCATTAGTATAAGATGTTGATATGATTCCAATGTTTATGCCATATCTTATTTAAACGGACACAAAGATCGTTCTTATTAGGGAAACGAGATCTTTAGAAAAAGAAGCTCCATCGAAAGCAACGATTCGCAGACGAAATACTCTAGATTCTATCATTTTTAACGAAATGTGCGATAAAGCAGACAAAGATTGCGCAAACGACGTGAATGATGAAATAGTGAAGGATCGAAAATCTAAACGGAGCCTGAAAGTGTTGCGAGGAAGCGAGAGGGACTTAAAACTTGATATGGATGCGGCTTATAGTTATGCTGAAAAATTTGATCATTGCCAAGCGACGACTCCTAATCATATGAAGGTACAGAGTACCGAATGATGATGGAATTAGTGGAATTTAAAACGCTCTTGGTTATTGTCCAAACGTAATACTAATGGAAAGTATTTACAGATTGAAACTCGAAATAGGTTTCGCAGTCTTCGATCGAAGCCTGTTGATATAGAAGAGAAAAAGGCTGATTTTAATATTTATGACCTAGGTTTAATTTTGGACGATAAGGAACCAAACACGCAATCACCGAAAACGCAAAGTCTTACAGAACGAAAAATATTTCATGATACATTTTCCTTTTTAATTACATTGGTATGGGAATTATTGATGGCAATAAAAAGTATGTTTATATTTTAGTCTTTCATTTTTTGAAATTGTTACTACAATTCTTAGGGAAGTACTGAACGTAATTGTCGACGTCAAATGAGTCATGAAGAAACCCGTTGGCAAAACGAATTGAAAGATTTGATCTGGCTAGAGTTACAAGCTCATCATGCTGATCGCAGTCCAATGGCTCAAGATGAATACCTTTGTAAACAACGTGAGGCTGTGGAAGGTTTACTTAAAGAAA